TAAATTTTAAATTTTTGTTTGATTACAGGATTTTTACGGAAGACGAAGTGAAGGCGATTAAAACAGTGCGATTGTATGACATCATCGTCAATGCCACTGATATCAAACCCGGAGACATTCAGGAAGAGGTTTTCTTCTGGATGGAAGGAGATCCTTGCCCACAACCGGCTCAGCTCAACACCTCCATGATGGAACCTTGCAAATATCTTGGTGGCTACGATTATTTCCATGTAAGTAATTTAAGTTCTTTTCCAAAAAATTAAAAATAAACGATCAGAATCCATTGAAAAATGTTCACTTCTATTTGGAAAACTAATCCGATTGTTATGTTGTGAGCGCCTTCTGTTCGGTACTTTTTAGCGTTTTAATGTACAGAAGCTTTAATTTCTCTTTATATGTGACGAGAAAAAATTGATTTCATTTGATCTACAGTGTGTAATTTATAATAGCGGGAAATGTGTGTTTATCATGCTGAACGAATTCAAATGATTTCGCTAAAATTGTTTAGATTCTTGAACGACATTTCCATGAGGTTCGCTTGCAAGTTCCGACTGATGAATTGCTTACTGCCAATTTCAATGCGCCATTTTTTTTCGGAAGAACCTTGCATCTTCGGGGAGGCGAGCATTGCGTTTTTTTTTTCAACAGCATATTATGAAGATAAAATTTCAATCTCCAGTCTGAGAATTTGGGATTCAACTTTCAATTATTATTTTTCTGCTTGCCCCAAGTTGCGAATTATTTGGCCTTACTTGTCGTTAAGCCGCGGTTTATTTCTTTATAAACCTTTCTTGAACCGGTTTTAAGGGATTTTAGTTCCATTGACCTCATACTAATTATTCTCTACATTTTTTTCCGCGTATGATTAGGGAAGCGAAGTAGCGTACATTTATTCGTGCATTTTGCTTGCTGCCGTGCCTCTAATTTGCGCTGGAGCGGGTTACGCTGTGGTCAAGTTGCAAAACTCGAGGCGCCGAAAGTTCAAGATGCAGCAAGAAGAAAACAACAATGGCAAGGCTGTCGACAAGATGGTTGTCAAAGAATGGCTTCATCAAAACCACAAACGACAGGTCTGGCTTCTGCTAATTTTAATCTTTTTTTTTGCTCATTGATTTTAAATTTTTTGCTTCTCCCAATTTTTTTTTTCGCTTAGGTGAAAATAAAATTTGGGCCGAACGACGCGTTCTACGTTGTCAATCGGAAAGGCGACAAACTGAGGAGTATCAAGCTTGGGAACGTCGATTCAATCGAGGTACAGTATCTTGAACATTTTCTGCACTTTTTATTCCAAGGATTTTAAACAAAGCGGCCTTGCTGATGACCTGCAAATCTTTTTTTTTTTTTTTTT